TCTAGTCAGAAGGCCCCCTAGTCAGAAAGCCCACTAGTCAGAAGGCCCTCTAGTCAGAAGGCCCTCTAGTCAGAAGGCCCTCTAGTCAGAAAGCCCACTAGTCAGAAGGCCCTCTAGTCAGAAAGCCCACTAGTCAGAAAGCCCACTAGTCAGAAGGCCCCCTAGTCAGAAAGCCCTCTAGTCAGAAGGCCCTCTAGTCAGAAGGCCCCCTAGTCAGAAAGCCCTCTAGTCAGAAGGCCCTCTAGTCAGAAGAAAGCCCACTAGTCAGAAAAAGAAAGGCCCCCTAGTCAGAAAGCCCCCTAGTCAGAAAGCCCACTAGTCAGAAGGCCTCCTAGTCAGAAAGCTCACTAGTCAGAAGGCCCTCTAGTCAGAAAGCCCACTAGTCAGAAAGCCCACTAGTCAGAAAGGCCTCTAGTCAGAAGGCCCCCTAGTCAGAAAATCCTTCCCTCTTCTATTGGTTTGTCAGCAACATTTCTCTTGAACAGTTGAATGTTTATTTGATGAAATCAACAGGGAATAATCTCTGGATATCAGGGAAGAATGAGTAAACTTTTGGATGTTTACCAATTAAAAATGGCTGCAACATCAACATTTTTAGAGATATTGACAGGAAAACACATAATCCTGCATAACAGCATTAGCTAAGGCCAGCGTTACTTCATTTGTTGGTTTACAAACCCACCAATGCTTTATTAAAAGAAAAAGATTTAAAATAAAATTGAACTGAAGGTTGTAGAGCTCGAATTACTGAACATTTTGCAAGTTGTTGCCTGAAAATCAGACAATTATTAACCCTGTTCCACTTAAGACTTAAGACATTTCCACCCAAATCATTATTTCCTCAAACATTTTTGCTGTATTTTAAGGGTTTAATATATTTATTACTTTTAATATTTACTTTTTAAAATATTTAAAACTTGAAATACAATTTCATTTGTAACAGTTTGTAACACGACCTGAACATGGATCTTCTGACTAGAGGGTCTTCTGACTAGAGGGTCTTCTGACTAGAGGACCTTCTGACTAGAGGGTCTTCTGACTAGAGGGTCTTCTGACTAGAGGGTCTTCTGACTAGAGGGTCTTCTGACTAGAGGATCTTGACTGACTAGAGGGCTTCTTCTGACTAGAGGGGCCTTCTGACTAGAGGGTCTTCTGACTAGAGACTGATAGAGGGCCTTCTGACTAGAGGGTCTTCTGACTAGTGGGTCTTCTGACTAGAGGGCCTTCTGACTAGAGGGTCTTCTGACTAGAGGACATTCTGAATAGAGGGCCTTCTGACTAGAGGGTCTTCTGACTAGAGGGTCTTCTGACTAGTGGGTCTTCTGACTAGAGGGCCTTCTGACTAGAGGACCTTCTGACTAGAGGGTCTTCTGACTAGAGGGTCTTCTTTCTGACTAGAGGGCCTTCTGACTAATGGGTCTTCTGATGATAAGACTGACCCCGGTGAAACAACGAGCACATGAGCAAACACAGTAAATTCAGAAACGTTTTAAGATCGTCTGAAATCTCAAGAAAAAACACAAAAATGGATTTAAAGAGCACGTTTTCATTTTCCTGTGATCAGTGCGAGAAGTTTGATTTTCAACTAAAATGTGAGAGCGACAGTTTATTACCCACCGACAGTAAAAACAGGGATCGATTGTCATTTGTTAATCTAAAGGTTCTTTTCAGAGCGACAGCAGTTCTTGCACCAAACGTTCCACCGGAGCCAGACGTTCTTAGTTCGGTTTGGCTTTCGTTGGTGTGAAAGCTTCGGTCGCACTCGGATCTGCACTGAGGCGACGTTTACGCGATGACGGTCTGAGCAGAAGACGCAAAAGTGGCGTCGGGTTTTCTTCTTTTATTCCGCGTTTAGTCGAGAGTTTTCAGGAGTAAATCTGCTGCACACGGCGACGCAAAAGTGTGTGGAGTTGGATTGTGTTTGTTTGTACTTAAAGCAACAAGAGCGTCTTTGGACATACGGACGTTATCACAACATGTACTTTCATCAGCTCCTCCTTCCATAAAGTCGTCCCACCGTCGACTGCTTCTCCAGGTCTCGTCCAGATCCGTCTGACTCGACTGAGACGACCTGGTGCGTCCAGAATCTGACAGAGGTGATTGCAGATCCTTCTCTGTTCACTAACAGTGTCTCTGCACATTCAACACATTTGTTGTTTTGCCTCCTGTAAGTTTATTCGAGCTGGAAATGATCCACACGTTTGTTTCTGTGTCCTGTTTGTTTGTGACGTAAATGCGTACACGACCTGAGCACATCTGACCAGAGTTTTGCGTCAACTTTTACACTCTGGTTCAGATTCAGATTTTTGCGTTTTTAAGCAATAAAAAACGGCATCAATGTCTAAACAAAAGACACTTCCCATAAAATATTTTGTCGCTTTTACCCGCAAGTGTTCTCGTGTAAACAGGCCGTCAGAAAGATCTCAGAGAAGAGGAGGTCTCGGTCGCTCTGCACCAAACGCCAAACTGCGGTGCGATCCCTCTGGTCAGGTGCCAACTCAGGTCCAAACCAGAGACAGTTGGTCCAAAACAACTATTCCAGATGCATCATGGGAGGGGAGGGTTACACTCCTGAATTGCAAGTGCCAACCCCAACCCCCGAGCGTGCCCCCCCGGTTAAAGGGTGAGATGGGGGCCGAGGTTGGGTCGGTGGGTTTACAAGTCCGAGCTCTCTTGGCCCGGAGAGAATGGCGCATCTCGGCCTCACTTCTGAGAGGTCTAATGTACGCGAGCCTCAGAGTCCCCCAAGCCAAGTGCAGTAGAACCCCCTGTGTGCAGAGGAGCCTTGGATAAACATCAATCAGACCAGGTTTGTTTGGTTTGCAGGTGTAAAAGGACCAAACTGGAGTCTATAACACAGAAGAACTTTTTATTGCCTGGTGCAAAACAAATAATCAGACTAGCGGAGTGAAAGTGCCTGAAACAAAAAAAACTAACTGAAAACGGCACCGACATAAGCTCCTCAGATTATGACCGACCCACAAACGAGTCGAGAACGGACGATATTACTCACTGTTTCTTCTCACAATTTTATTTACATCGACCGTCACAGCCCGAGTTTGTCCCAGTTTGGAATTTTATAAATCTTGTTCCAGTTCGGATCCATCGAATAAGCAGCTCTTCAGGTCAAAATAAAACCTCTGTGTTCAGTCTGTGGCGAAATATCAAGTGTTTTACTGCATGATGATTAGGAAGTGCGCTGTTAGCATGCTGGTTGTTGTTAGTTCGTCATTAAAACTCCGCTCTGGTCTGTGAAAGTTGTGAAAAATGCTCAGAATGTGTAAGGTGAGAGAGAATAAATGTGCTCCTGTCTGCTCCTCCTTGCTCCTGCTGCTCCTGTCTGCTCCTCCTTGCTCCTGTCTGCTCCTGTCTGCTCCTGTCTGCTCCTCCTTACTCCTGTCTGCTCCTGTCTGCTCCTCCTTGCTCCTGTCTGCTCCTGTCTGCTCCTCCTTGCTCCTGCCTGCTGCTCCTCCTTGCTCCTGTCTGCTCCTGCCTGCTCCTCCTTGCTCCTGTCTGCTCCTCCTTGCTCCTGTCTGCTCCTGTCTGCTCCTCCTTGCTCCTGTCTGCTCCTGTCTGCTCCTGTCTGCTCCTCCTTGCTCCTGTCTGCTCCTGTCTGCTCCTGTCTGCTCTTTCCCTGTGGTCCAAACAAAACACTTGTATTTGTCATTAATCTGGTGTCTTTTCAGCGTGTCTCCACAGGGGGCGCCGCAGCGACTCCTCACACTCAATAAACCCCGTTTGAGTGGGAGGGCGGAGCCTGTGCCGCTCGACGGGAGATTCACCGTTCAGAAAGAAAATCTACAAACTTCTGACGCACAAACGTTTCTGCTCCTCGTACTTTAATCTACTGATGTAGAAGTCCAGGACTAAACCAGGACTAAACCAGGACTAAACCAGGACTAAACCAGACTAAACCAGGACTAAACCAGGAACTAAACCAGGCTAAACCAGAACTAAACCAAACTAAACCAGGACTAAACCAGGACTAAACCAGGAACTAAACCAGACTAAACCAGGACTAAACCAGGACTAAACCAGGAACTAAACCAGGACTAAACCAGGAACTAAACCAGACTAAACCCTAAACCAGGACTAACCAGGACTAACCAAAACTAAACAACTAAAACTAAACCAGGACTAAACCAGGGCTAAACCAGGACTAAACCAGGACTAAACCAGGACTACTAAACCTAAAGGACTAAACCAGGACTAAACCAGACTAAACCAGAACTAAACCAGGACCTAAACCAAACTAAACCAGGACTAAACCAGGACTAAACCAGGACTACTAAACCAGGACTAAACCAGGAACTAAACAGGACTAAACCAGACTAAACCCAGGCTAACCAACTAAACCAGCTAAACCAGACTACCAAACTAAACCAGGACTAAAACCAGGACTAAACCAGGACTAAACCAGGACTAAAACCAGGACTAAACCAGACTAAACCAGGACTAAAACCAGAAAACCAGGACTAAAACCAGGACTAAACCAGGACTAAACCAGGACTAAAACCAGAACTAAACCAGGACTAAACCAGGGCTAAACCAGGACTCTAAACCAGGACTAAACCAGGACTAACCAGGACTAAAACCAGGACCTAAACCAGGACTAAACCAGACTAAACCAGAACTAAACCAGGACTAAACCAGGACTAAACCAGGACCAGAACTAAACCAGAGGACTAAACCAGGACTAAACCAGGACTAAAACAGGACTAAAACCAGGACTAAACCAGGACTAAACCAGGACTAAAAACCAGGACTAAACCAGAACTAAACCAGGACTAAACCAGGACTAAAACCAGGACTAAAACCAGGACTAAACCAGGACTGAACCAGGACTAAACAGGACTAAACCAGAACTAAACCAGGACTAAACCAGGACTAAAACAGGACTAAAACCAGAACAAAACCAGGACTAAACCAGGACTAAAACCAGGACTAAACCAGGAACTAAAAAACCAGAACTAAACCAGACTAAACCAGGACTAAACCAG